CGGTCCCTGTGCTTCGCTAAGCTTGTTCTAAGTAGGTGCTTTAGACCACTGAGCCATCTCACCAGCCCTGGAGGCCATATATCTGATAACACTCTAGTACCTATTCTAGGACACATAAAGAATTCTTACAACAAAAAGAAAATAATCCAACTAAAAATAGGTAGGGGCTGGGGATATAGCTCAGTGGTGTAGTGCTTGCCTGGCAAGTGTGAGCTCCTGAGCTCAATTCTGAGGGATCCCCCAAAATAAGAAAATAAAAAATTAAAAAAAGGATAAAGAATAGACTTTCAAGAGCTGGGTGTGGTGGCATATATCTGTGATCCCTGCACTCCAGAGGCTGAGGCAGGAGGATTGCCAAGAGTTTGAGGCCAGCCTGGGCTACACAGTAACTTTAAGGCCAGTCTGAAGTACATAACAAGACACTGTCTGAAAAAACAAAATCTCCTCCACCCCAGAGGGGAGCGGGGAGGAAGGGAGGGAGGGAGGACGGAGGGAGGAGGGGAGCGAGGGATGGGAGGGAGGGAAAGAAAGAAAGAAAGACAGACAGATAGACAGACAAGGTCCAGAGTTTTTGAGTTTGATCCCCAGTACAAACACCATCACTAACAATAACAACAATATCAAGAGTAGGTAAATGTTAGCGGGGGAAGGCTGGAGGAGGTTAGAGGTTCCAGGAGCCTTGTGGGTGTGTGTGGAGGGGACAGGGAGGGGCAGCTTCATGGACACAGGTCCTGGGGTGGAATGTTCTGGAACTGGACAGAGGTGGTGGCTGAACATCACTGTGAACGTACTGAAGGCCACCGTATTGTACAATGGGAAGTGACTAATTTATGGGAATTTCACCTAAAAAAAAACACATTTGAGGAATCCTGGGAATCCTGCTGCTGCTGCTGCTGCTGCTTACAACCACAGCTGAGCAGCAAGAATTTGCTCTTGGGGCCGGGGAGATGGCTCAGTGGAATAAGCTCTTCCCTGGCAAGCGCAAGGTCCTGAGTTCAATGCCCAGTTCCAAAAAAAAAAAAGAATTCACTCTCCACCTCGCTCACCACCCTGCTCTATCAGGAGCAGATGGCCCTGCCCTTCCCTACCTTCCAGGCTCATCGGCAAAGGGCTGCACTCAGTTCCTGTTTACTGAACACTTAGTACCCGACCCAGTGTAGAGCCCTTTTTTTTTTTTTTTTTGGTACCGGGAATTGAACTCAGGACCTCGTGCTTGCCAGATAGGCGCTGTGCCGCTGAGCTACATCCCTGGCATGTGTAGAGCTTTGGGTGTGATCACAACACACCCTTCCACAGGGAGCCTGTGGCTAGCCACTGCTATCATCCCCAGAGGGAGAGGCCACCGGGCCACAGACCCCACAGAGCCAGGAGGCTGGACGCCAGATCCACACCACCAGCCGTGTTGAGGGTGTTTCCTGAAAACAGCTGCAAACAATTTCCGGCACTGCACATGCTTCCAGAACCTTCCCCTCCCTTGTCAGAGCTGGGGTCCATGCAGTCTTCCTCCTCACCGTGCAAGACCTCTGTGACCCACTGGGCACGGCAGCACAGGCGCCATGCTGGGTGCTGTCACAGTGAAGCCTCAGGGCCATCATAACTTCCTCCCGGCAGGCTCCCAGTTTCTTTCCTTCTCTTCCCCATGTCTCCTAAGACTCATTTTGGAGCCATGAGCCTGAATCTCCATGCCCAAAAGGGCCCAGGAAGGGCCAGGGATGTAGCTCAGCAGCACAGTGCCTACATGGCAAGTGCAAGGTCCTGAGTTTGATTTTTGGTACCAGAATAAAGAAAAGGCCCTGCAGAGAGGTCCTGAGACTACAGGAGGACAGACACCAGCATGAGAGTGTCTGGGAAGCCGGAGCCATCTCGCTGGGCCTTCCCCAGATTCCCGATTTACTGAAAGCACGAGAGAAGAAATGAATGCAATTTTAAGCCATGAAATTTTGAGATGCTTTGTTATGCAGCAACTGGGTGATTGATAGGACCACGACCCCCCTCCCCCCGTGCTCAGAAACACCCGTCACCTGGGTTTCTGCTGTCTCTGCACCAGCCTTGGCAGGCACTGCGCAGGACTGACTGACCCACACCACAGTCTCAGATTTCCTTTTCTCCTCTGGTCTCCGCTCTGCCCAGGGGGTACTCACCAGTGCAGCGAGCTCAGAGCTACTGGGACAGGAGCTTTCCCAAACATGACAGGAAAGAAGATGGAACTGGGGTGGAAAGTGTTAGGGTGTGTGATGGAAGGGCTTGCGTTCCTTGTGCAGCACTGGTTCTCATACCAGCACCCCAATATCCCTGTGAGGACCTCCTGTGAGTCAACCTGAGGGCTTCACCCCCTGGCCAAGGGAAGGACGGTGCCAGGCTGGCTCCATGCCCGTCATTAGAACCTGACTCTCTACTGAGGCATCCTGAAGAAGCTGCCCACTGTGGCCGGGTCCCAAGGCCGCCTTTCTGCTCTCCCTTTTCTGACACTCCATGTTTCTGACTACCCATCCATTCTGTGAGATTCGTCATATTCTTCTATTAATCTTTATTTATTTATTTATTTATTTTTATCTTGTTTGAGACAGGGTCTCACTATACAGTTCAGACTGCCCTTGAACTCACTTATGTAGCTCAGGTTGTCCTCAAACTCATGGCAATCTGCTTGCCTCAGCCTCCTGGGTGCTGGGGTTATAGGTATGTACCACTATGCCAGGCTTCATTCATTCATTCTTTGTTTCTTTTCCTTTTTCTTTTTTTTTTTTTTTTTTATCGGTACCAGGGATTGAACTTGGGACCTTGTGCTTGCCAGAAGCTATATCCCCAGCCACCTGGTTTCTTTCATTAATCATATTCTGGGTTTAAATCAGCAAGATCAGTTTCTATTGCTTACAACCAAGAACACTCCACAGTGTAGGAAAAAAAAAAGACTGTGGCTTTCTAGCAGAGTTGTTTGGAGTCTAAGTTCTGAGTTCAGGGTTCAGGGCAAAATTAAAATGACATTTTCAGGCCAGCCAGATAGCTCAGCTGACGAAAGCACCTGCTTAGGCAGGCGCAGCGACAGGGGTTCGATCCCGGGCATGCCATGCTGACCCCAACCCTGGGGCATGAGGAGCCAGCGATTGAGACTGAGTGTGGTGACGTGCACCTATAATCCCAGCACTTGGGGTCTGATCTATGTAGTGAGCCCCTGTAGACCCCGCACTAAATACATTTTTTTTTTTAACATTTATTTAGTGTGTGTGTGTGTGTGTGTGTGTGTGTGTGTGTGTGTGTGGCCAGCTCAGCCCACCAGGGGGCGCAGCTGGCTGGCATGTGGTGCTGGGGGATCGAACCGTGGTCCCTGTACTTTGCCAAGCTTGTTCCAAGTAGGTGCTTTAGACCACTGAGCCATCTCTCCAGCCCCTAAATACATTTTTTTTTTAATGGTATGTTCCATCATCTTTCTTTTTTTTAAATATAGTCCGCTGTTTATTTATTACATTCACTTTTTTTTAGTGTGTGTGTGTGTGTGTGTTTGTGTGTGTGGCCAGCTCAGCCCACCAGGGGGCGGGGCTGGTTGGCATGTGGTGCTGGGGGATCGAACCGCGGTCCCTGTGCCCTGTCAAGCCTGTTCCAAGTAGGTGCTTTAGACCACTGAGCCATCTCTCCAGCCCCTAACATTCTTTTATTTTTTATTTTTTATTTTTTATTTTTTTCTTTATCAGAAACGGGGATTGAACTCAGGCCCTTGCACTTGCTAGGCAAGCACTTATTCTAGTGAGCTATCTCCCCGGCCCGTTCCATCATCTTTTGCAGCTAGGGATGTCCAAGTGACTAGATACTGTGCCATTCCTAAGAAGGGCCAAGGTTGCTGTTCCTTGTGCTTCCTCTGTGCTGACTGGGATGGAGACAGGAAAGCTGCAGCGCACGCATTCATCTCGGAGCACGAAGGAAGCCACAATAGATGACAGGAACCAGGCCCCCAGTGAGCACAGAGACGTCACACCAGTGCCACGCTGCCTGCCTCTGGGCTTTCTTTACAAGAAACAAACATCTATTTCACCAAAACCACTGTTATCTGGGGATTTTCTCAGTGTCCTAACTGTGCGAATTTGGAAGAGTGCTCTGGTTGCTTTCATCAGATTTTCAGAAGGGAGCTGACCTTCCCCCTAAAACACTAAGAACTATGGGCAAAATGTACTGAGGCTGAACAAATGACAGATGCTTTTGGAGTATTATTTGAGAAGGACCCAAGGGAGTCTGGGGGGAGGCACGAAACTCTCCATAACTTGATCTAGGTAGGGTTTATGCAGAAGCGAAAGTTCAGAGCTGTGCACCGACAATCTGCATGCTGAAATGCGTGCACCAGGAGCTAGGAGGGTAACAGCTTTCTCTTGCGTGCCCGCGGCGCACTCCTGCACACTTTGCATTGCCCCACTCAAGTCTCCCAAGAATCCTCTAAGTGAGAAACTGAGCGCACTCATTCCTGGGCACAGAGGACCGAGCCTACTCTCTAGTGCATGCAACCTGCCGGGACCCCCGGGGCCACGAGGGAGAAGCACATCAGTTTCAGCTGTACTCACGGAATCCTTGAGCGCCAGGAAACAGTGGCAGATCCAGCGGCGGGTGGTGCCATCCCGGCAGATGTAAGAGAAAGCCTTGTCCAGGTTGCGGTCAGGTGCACAGAAGGAAACTTTCTCAATGGTCTGGTCCACCAACAGGTCCTAGGAGGGCCAGGAGGCCAAGAGTGGTGTGAGCCATTCCTCTATTTTTTTGCGGAACCAGGGATTGAACTCAGGCCCTTGCACTTGCCAGGGAAGCGCTTATTCCACTGAGCCATCTCCCCGGCCCCTTCCTACACATTTTATTTTGTGCAGTTATTTTTTTGGTGTTTTGAGACAGGGTCTCGGTATATGGCCACGCTGGCCTTGAACCCACTATGTAGACTAAGCTGGTCTCATACTTGAGGTGATCCTCCTGCTTCAGCCTAGAGTGGCGTACACTACCATGACCTGCCATTTTTATTTTATTTAGAGACAAAGTCTAAACTGCCCAGATAGAACTTTTTTTTTTTTTTTTTCAGAACCGGGGATTGAACTCAGACCCTTGGGCTTGCCAGGGAAGCGCTTATTCCACTGAGCCATCTTCCCGGCCCTCCAGATAGAACTTGATGTTGTTCCACCTCAGTCTCTCTGGTAGCTGGGATTACAAGCATGCAGTAGCACACCTGGCTTGTGTACTGTCCTAAAAGGGTAAAGACGCGATAGCCATAGAGGTAGTGGAGGGGCACACTGGTAGGCGGCTTCCAGTTCAGATCCATCATGAGATGGGGACAGCTAGAGACACTCAGGGTGCAATACCAAGACACGCACAGATGAGCTGGGGCCTAGATGGGGAGGCCAGGGGCTTGCAGGAGCCAGGAAGAGGTGCTTGATTCAACTTGCAGGGAGCCAGATAGAGCTTGCTAGAGGAGGTATTAGCTATGAGGAAAGGCAGGGGACAGTCCTCAGGCCAAGGGCACTGCCTAGGCAGAAATGGGGAAAACTGTTCCGCCTGAGCCCAACTCTTAGTGCACCCAGTCCCTTCTGGGGCAATCTCTGGCTTGGGACTGGGACAGCAAACAGATTCCCAGCTCATGACCCCACAGACATTCTGCTGGACACACTAAAAATGAACACGCTACCTTGTATTGGTCTGATGCGGTGGGCAGCATTTTAATCAGCTTGCAGTACTTTTTCATTTGACAGCAGGGTCTTTTCTTTTGTTTTCCTTCGTGGCCAGGCTCGGCCCGCCTTGGAGGTGGGGCTGGCGTAGCATGTGGTGTAAGGATTGAACCAGTCCCAGCACTTGCCTAAGCAGGTGCTTTAGACCACTTAGCTATCTTGCCAGCCCAACAGGGTCTTTTCTGAGGTCTGCTTTTTAGATGAGGGACCCAGGGCCCCAAAAATTACATCTTATGCCCTGCACCTCCAGCTGGCGAGAGGGCCACTCCAGGCTCTGCTCTGACCCTCTTGGCACCAGCTCACAAATAACCCTGCCCTCATTCCTCAATTAGGCTAATGCAGTGAACCATGTTGTTGTAGGGGCACACAGTGTCATCCAGAAGGTCCTGAAGGGAGGGCCACCCCAGGGTCGAGAGCTGGGAAAGGGGTGTCAGTCCCAACCTGCGCAGGGTGAAGACCTCGGCCCGCTGAAGCTCAGGCCACCCCCACAGGCCTCCTACCTTGGTCTTGTCATCCACCACACGGAGCCCATCAGCTGACACCCACAGGACAGACTTCACAGACTTCCGGCCCATCTGGAGTGGGAGTGGGGTGGGGACAGAGTGGCCTGGTCAGCGCTGCCTCTGCCCGGCCGGCCTTGCCCCATCCCTGGTTCTTGCCCCTCACGTACCGCCTTCAGCTTCTTCACGGCATCTTCACACACGTGCATCCCCCGGGACTCCTCCACCTCCACGTGGCCCAGATACTTGGGTCGGGGAAGAGGATGGGAAATAAGCAGAGTGATCAGTAATTCTCAGTGTTCCCTGCTCAGTGCCATGCGCCGCTCTCAGCACATCATCATGGGTAGGAGAAGGAGGATTAGTTCATTTATGGTGAATCTCAGTTCTACAGCTGGGTAGCACATTCCCGGCCCAGTCACACAGATGGCCCAGGTATGGTGGTGCGCACCTGTAATCCCAGTAGTCTGAGAGGTTGGGGCATGAGGATTGTAAACTCAAACCCTGCCTGGGAAGTGTAGACTTAGCAAGACCCTGTCTCAAAAATAAAAAAAGGTCTAAGGATGTAGTTCAGCGTGAGGCTCTTGGTTCAATCCTTAGTACTGAGAAACAAAACAAGAAAGAAGAAAACAGTGAAGCCTGGTGTAGTGATCTCTGTTCTGCTATATTTTTAGGCTTTAATACCACACTGCACCAGGCATGGTAGTGCATGCCTCTAATACCAGCACTGGGAGGCTGAGGCAGGAAGATTTCTAAAAGTATGAGGCCAGAGTGGGCTACACTGTGAGTTCAGGGCCAGCCTGAGCTATACAGCCAGATCCTGTCTCAAAAGAACCAAAAAAAAAAAAAAAAAAAGACTGAAAACAAGTAAACAAACATGAATATTTGTCTCTATACCTAAGAGGTAGTCTGGGACCACACCAGGCTGTCCTTGACCCCTTAACAGCAGTTGGAAAAAGTATGGGCCAAGCAGGCGCTTAGTCCACTGAACTATCTCGCTGCCCCCCGCAACTTTTTCCCCTCTGATACATACATTTTTTTTTTTCTGTTTTCCAAGTACTGGGGAATTCACACAGAATTACTCCTGTTTTTTTTTTTTTTTTTGAGACATAAATCATCCAGTTTGTAGTTGATTTTATAATCCTTCTGCCTCAGCCTCCCAGACTGCTGGGATGACAGATGTGAACCATCATGCCTGCCTCCACAGGTGACGTATCCTCTAGTCGGCTAAGTGGGTCCCCATCTTGCACAGGTTCTCAGAACCCTTCCGCGATTCAGCCTGGTTCCCAGGCTGCCCCTGGGCCACCCACCCACTCACCCTGACCGGGAAGCTGCATGTGCCCTTGCGCACGGCGTCCTCATCCGCCTGCCACTGGTGTGGGCGCGATGCCTCAGGCACATAGGCCGGTTTCCTCCGCCGCAGGCTCTGTCGTAGCTTGTTCATGGTGCCCGCCCCGTCTAGTGACAAAGGACAGCAGTGCCAGTCAAGTCAGGACTAGAGATCGCAAGGTTTGGGGCTCAAGGAGTATAGAGTTGGATAGTATACCCAGAACGAGGTTCCAGAACGAAGCAGGGGGTGGGGGTGGGGGTGGGTCATTGGGTCTGGGTACATGGCGTTTGGGGGACGCGGGCAAGCACAACATCAGAGATTCAGGAACAAGGGGTTTGGAGCAGAGTGGAGGAAGCCATGGGACGAATGCTTTAGGGATAAAGAAACTGGAGCTAAGAACGACAGGAACCAAGAGCATCCAAAGGCTTGGAAGTCAGGATGTGGGAGGGCATAGGCCTCAAGGGCGGGAAGTCAGGGTCACAAGGTGAGTGATGGCTTCCGGGTATGAGGGCCCCAGGGCAGAAGCTTGCTATCTTCCTGCCTCAGCCTTCCAGAGTGATGGGCTCATTTACTGTTCCTTTTTTCCCCTGGAACCAGGACTCAAACTCAGGACCTTTCCCTTGACCCATTTACTATTCCTGATGACTACTGTCTGAGAAGGTGACAGCCACAAGACCCTGCCTGGGCTGCGGGGTGGTGCACACCTGTAATCCCAGCACTCTAGAGGCTGAGACAGAAGGATCGTTGGGAGTTCGAGACCAGCCTGGGCTACAAAATGAGTTTAAGGCCAGCCTGAGCTGCATAGAGAGACCCTGTCTCAAAAAGATAAGACAAAACAGAAAACCCTACCTGTGTCCAACAGGGTAGCTGTTGGTGGGACTGTATGGCTGTGGCTATTGTTTGTGAAGCTGAGTCTATGTCAGAGTCTGTGGCTGTCATTGTAGACAGTGAGGCTGGGAGTGCTGTCTCTAGTCTGTATGCAGTGTTCCACCGAGGAGGGTACACAAGAACCTGACGCTGCAGTCTTGGAAACTGTGTTCTCGGTGTTATTTGTGGTGGCATAACTTGTCTGTAGAGTTCTAAGTATTTTTCGTGTGACAGTGCAAAAGTGTAGCACTTTTGCAGAGCCCAAGCCCATGGTTATTGTTTGTAACCAAGACTGTACACAAAACTGTAGCTATTGTCTGTAGAAGTATTGGTTTGTGTGTGTTGTCTGGGAAAACACCCTCGTGTATTTCTTGAGTGTGTGCATCCGACCTGTGCCTGGCTGTGTGAGAACCTGTACGCTGTCTGGGAATATGTGTGCAGATCCATCCTATTGGTGTAAAGGAACAACTACTTAGCACATCTTGAAGTGTGACTGTCACCGCATTAACAAGTGTGTGTGGCTCTGAAAGATTGTCACCTGAGTGTGTCTAACTATGTCTATGGATGGGTGAGGGTCTGGGCATGTGAGCCTGGGACAGTATGCTCCTGTGAGACCCACAGTCATAGCGAGTGCGAGGATGTTGGTGTTGTACGTGGATGAGGAGATCTTGATGGTTATGAGTGTGTATTTGAGGGTGCCACTCATGAATGCAGTTAAGCCGGTGTGATGGGACGGTTCCGATCACACTAGGCATACCATACATCCTCCCCAAGGCCCTACTTATTCCCAAGCTGGTCACTCACCTGACTCCGTCCTGAAAGTTTCAGGGGGCCCCAGGGCCCCACAGGGGGCTGGGGGCAAACGCTGCTCAGGCCTTCTGGGTCCGCCCTGCCCAAAGGAGGAAGGAAAAAGTGAGAGGTTTGGGGCGGAGTTCAGTCCCCTACTCACCTCTCACTCCCTACCTTGGACTTCAGCCAACCCCCTCCATTTCATACTCCTTGGTGAGAGCCCTGGTTGTCATAGCAGCTGTTACCAGGGAGACCAACCATCTTGTTCTAAGGGCCCAGGATGGAGTAGGTGTGTTTGGGGGGTAGGCATTGCTAGAGATGTGCTGGCCTCAGGAGGCCCTTAATACCCAAGGTGACAATGTGAGGAGAGTGGCTCTGCTGTCCATCCCTGCCCAGGACTACGCACAGACATATACTCCACATGCGAAGCCAGTGCACGTCCACGGTTGACTGTAGCAGCGCACACATAGTTACATACAGATGCGTAACTTCAGGTCACACGGACGCAGACACAGTCATGGCTGCCATTGTAAACATTGGGCCACATGTCCATGTACGCAGACACACATAGTTCTACCACAGACTTTTGTCCATGCATGTGTTGAGTGCCCCAGCCTGGCTAGGCTTCACCAGACACCTGGTCAGCCAGTGACCGATATCTGGTCATTCTTATCAGCCAAGTACAAAGTGCTTGGCTCAGGCACAACCGCACGGGCTACATACACAACCACACCCAGTGACAGTTGTTTCCACAGGTGGCCATCCAAGGGGCCCACATTACAGCCCCTTCCCCCCAAAGGAATCACATCCAGTCATAGTTCACCCATTTGGCCACCTGTAAGCACCCATTCACACACTGACACAATCACAGCTACACACACTTGTCACAGGTGCCTACTGTGCTGTACACTGACATCTGGATACACAGAAGTGGACTGACACACATTTGGTCCCTCAGAGCCCACACAGCCACTGCTGTACACTGACACACAACCTCAGCTGTGTCCACTTCACCAACACACCTTGTGCAGTCACACATCCAGTGTTAGCTGCTCACATTTGGTCACCATTTCTGTTACACAGTCAGTGCTCTGGGATGCACAACCACATACAGAGATCCTGAGGACCTTGGCCCAGGCGTGAAAAACAGGAATAGACATGGATGGCTCAGGATGCAACCACCCAGAGAAAACAGCCCCAAGCATGGCCACCCTCAGACACAGCCACACACATTCCAGAAATGATCATGTATGCATAGTCAAGAGCATCAGTGTCCACATTACCCAGCCATCTGTCACAACCAGTGTCCCATCCACAGCTGTACCATGCCACAACATCACAAACACAGTCTTTCTTCCTGCAGACACACAAGTCACATCACCAAGTATGTGTGGCCCCAGGGGGACAGTCACAGCCCCACCTATACACCTAAAATCTCACACACAGTAAGAGTCAGTAGTATAAACAGAAATGCGGTGACCTGGACAGAGCATTTATAGCTGCTTTACGCAGAAGACGGGGTCCCCAGCAGAGCCACGTGTACCATCGGGGCCATCCCAAGATCCTAACACAAGTGGGCTAGTGCACACACACACACAGATGAATGTACAAGCATGCACAGGAAAATCGCCACAGACACATGTACACACACACACACAGAAGTGCCTAGACACATCCATAACCTGAGTCACACACAATAATCCTTCAGAAGAGCCAAGGTTGCAGACACAAGTCAAATACACAGCACCCCCCCAACACAAGTGCATAACCCAAGTCACACACACACAGAGCTGTAAGTACACGGTCACTCAGAATTACACAGCTAGACATCATTTATACAACCCCAGTCACACACATGGAGCTGGGGATACACAACAACTGCCACACACACTGCCATCAGGCATTTCCAGTCACACAGGCACAAACTGACTTCAGATACAGTGGCTGTCACACACCCAGAGTTGCACAGTACTGTGTCACACACATATATAAAATCAACTTAGACACAGCATTCGCAGTCCCTGGGAGCAGCACACATGGATGTGGAGCCATCAACACAACCCCACTTACATACAGCCACAACTCCACCCATCCCTTCAGTCAGTCACGTACATGCCCATCTCTAGACTCAGCATACTCCATCACATACCAAGGCACACAAACACAGGGTCACAAAAGACATAACCCTAGACAAAGTCACACAATCACAACTATGCATCTGCCCAAATACCGACAGACTAAAAAGTGGAAGGTTTACACAGTGAGCAGTTGTCATGCACACACACACTGCCACACAAATACTGGGACCATACAGACACCACCACAACAGCCACAGCACACAAATATACAACACAGTATTCCTCCTAGTCTCCAGCTGCAGTACATGTGTACACACAACCACAGCCTCACAAACGTGGGGTCACATTCCTAGCCACCTCCCTGTCTCTTGCTTCCCACCCTTCTCTCTAGGTACCACACACAAAGCCGCCCGTCACCACCACAGATGCTGCAGACTGACAGGGTTGCACTGGGTCCCTGGGGAGCTGCCCCCAGTCCAGCCTGAATCCTGGAGCCTGGGGGGCCAGGTCGGGTAGGGAAGGCTGTGCATTGTCTATGGGTAGGTCCTCTCTTGGACAGCTGGGCAGCCAGCCCAAGGGACAAAGGAGGTGACCCAGAGGACCTGTGCCCTGAGACCCATGACCAAGGGGAGAGGAGGGCTTCTAAAATTCTCATTTTATTCAATGGAATGGGGTGGGGTCCCAGGCACGGGGAACCTTGTTTGGAGGAGATGTGCTTGGGACACCGCCCAGGGACTGGAAAAAGGCTATGCCCATGACGTCTCTGAGGCCTAGAGGCAAGCAGTGCTTGGAGTCCCTCCAGGCCTAGGTTTGGAGGGGAAGCTGAGCTGTACAGAGGGACCCCATGCTCAAGTCCCTGCCTAGGGGGGTTGTTGTGGTGCTCAGAGATTTCCCCCACTCCCCCATACCCCGGTCGGGAGGGACAGGGATTGTGTCTGGAACCGCCTCCGGGAGGCCTTGGCTTCATATGGGGTCTGTATCTCGCATCCGGTCCCCAAAATTCTACTTGGGAGTTGTACCTAGAATCTCTGTACCCCTGTTCTTGATGGGGGAGGGGGTGTCTTGCGCCCAGGATCCCTGTGTCCAGGCGCTCGGCAAGAGATGACCTATGCCTGAGATCCCCGTCTCCCGGCTTTGGCTCATTGGGGACCTGTTCTTGGACCCCCACCCGGGACCACCCTCTTCAGCATTGGCAGCCTCTCTCCATCCGGGAGCCGCCGCCGCCTCCCACCCTCCGCCACATCAGCAGCGGCGCCGCCCCCCACCCTGAGCCCCCTCTCCCGCCCTTCTCACGCTGGCCGCCGCGCTGCGGGACATTCAGGGCCCGGGCGCCCCCGCCTCCCGCGGCCCAGTTGGGCCCGGCTTCCTGGGTGCTGCTGCTCTTGCTGCGGTGGAGACGGCGGCAGCTCGGTCTGACGCGGGCCGGGCCGGGGCCGGGGCCGGGGGATGGTGCGGGATGCACGCGCCCCAGCCAGCTCCGCTCGCTGGAGGATTCCGTTCCGGGGGCGGGGGAGCGTCCCTCCCGCCTCGGCCCCGCCCATTGGCCCGCCGCCTGCTGCATATGCAAAAAGAATCCGCCTTTTCCAACCCACAGACCGCGCCCACATACAAAATATAGCTCCGCCTTCTCCGGCGCGGCCACCGCCCCGCCACGCCCACTGCCTGGGCCTTGGGAAAGCGTGCGGTTAGCTTAGCCGATTTCTTCCCGTAGGCTCGTTGCGGTGCGGTCTCAGTTGTCTTTTGTGACCCCTGACCTCAGATCCCGTTCAGTTCCGGAAGAACTGTATTAAGAGGCGCCTTGCAGGTCCTCGTCCCCAGATCTCTTTGCTAACCCCACGGTCCTCCCAGCCGGGCGGGGGCGGGCAGAAGCGGTGACGAGGCACTTTTTGCAAGGCAGGGGAGGGGGAGTGAACAGACCCCGACCAGGAACTGGATCTCATCAGCTGGGGGCCGGGGCCGGGGCACTGGGCTGGGACCGAGGCAGATTTCTGGCCACTGCTGCGCCCCCCTCCTCCCTCACCCAATCCAATGGGTCTGGCAGAGCAGCTGGCAGGGGCATCAGGATCCATTAGCAAAGGCAAGGTGCCTGGGAGGATGGGGAAGGCGCCCAATACCGGGAGGCCGTGTGTGTGTGTGTGTGTGTGTGTGTGTGTGTGTGTGTGTGTGTGTGTGTGTGTGTGTGTGTGTGGTGGGGGGCGCTTCTCAGCTGCCACAGCCTTTCGAGCAGGTGGTCAGCACGTGGGGCTGGGGGAGGAGGATCCCGGCAACAGATGGCCCAGGCAGGGCTGGGACTGTCAGACTAGGGGGCTGGGGGAGGGGCGACCATCTGCACCTGGCCACCCAGGAGCTCCTCCCCCTCAGCGCAGAGAAAAAGAGCTGGGGAAGGGGAGGGTCGCTTTTATTCCAGAGGGAAGGTTCAATCCCCATTCCCACTCCAATACACAGAGTCTGGGCCGGAGACAAGGCAGCTGGTGGAAAAGTAAGGGATGCAAAGGTGAGGCTGCATCACCAACCATCTCTTTTCCCTTTCACCACCAGATCCTGGGAGAACAGAGGAAGAGGTGAGTCAAAGGCTCCCTCCAATGTTGTCAGATATGTTGCCCAGTTCCCTGGCCTGGAGTTCCTGGGTGCCCACTTTGTAGTGGGAGCAGCTGTGAATTGGGGTACACTAGCCCCAAGGTTCCTGAGATCCTGGGCCAAGAAGGGGAGCTAGGCAAGACCAAGAAGCCTGGTGGTAGTGGGGAGTCCCCAGGCCAGGACTGGGAAGTATAGGAGGTATCGCAGCAGGGGATAGCCTGCTATGAAGCTGGAATCCCTAAATGGAGGCTGTCAAAGGGTCCACGGGGAGGTTCTCCGGTCAGGAGGCTGCGGGCAAAGGTTGTGCCTGGCGACTGGCCCAGTATCGGTGGTAGGTGTCCTGGAAGAGGTCCCGGCAGGCAATGTGGGCGTGGAGTCGGGCACAGGCCAGGAAGGCCCCTGCCAGCTTGCGGTGCAGGGCATAGGTCTCTTGAGGTGGAGGGCGCAGCCGGTGCTGCAGCAGCACTGGGATGAGGTTCTGTATGCGACGGGCAGTGTCCCCTGCCCCAAAGTCATAGGGACCAGGGGCAGCAAAAGGTTCCCCCAGGATCATCACTGCCTCCACATGGGCATCGGAGAAAGCCTAGGGATGGGGACAGCAGACACGCCGAGATGGACATAGTGCCCTCCACTTGTCCCAGAAGAGACAAGCAGTCCTCAGCTTCCTGCAGCCTGAGTATAAACACAAGCTCTGGACTCCCTCTATCTACCCGTTCCAGAGCCCTTGGCACACAGTGGCTCCCTCTTACCCCCAACCCCATGGGCCCTAGCTTCCTCTCAAGAGCCTCCTAAACAAGCAGCCTCCTCTCCCTAATGGGATCCTCTGTGCCCATTAGCAGCAACCCCTCTAGAAGACATGAGTAGTGTCTGTTCTCCCACGTTTCTGGAATACTCAGGCAGTCAGGCCCACTGCTCCCCCTCTTCCCAGGATAGGTAAGCATCCCCCACAGCCTCTGTTCTCCCCAGTAGAGACAAGCCCCATCCCCTACTCCCTCCCCAGTTTCTTAGTAGAGACTGGCAGCTCCCCAGTCTGCTACCTTCCCAGTGTCACCCAACCTTGGTTTCAAAGCCTGTGAGGAATTTAAGATCCTGGGACTTCTGCAGGACACAGTCTCTGTCTCCATCAGCTGCAGCCTTCACCACCTGGGGAGATGGGGGTGGGGCAGGGGTCGATGGCCAATCAGGGATCAAGCAGGGGTTTCTGGCTGAAAAGAACCTCCTGGACCAACTGGGATCCACCTGTTTTCCTGTAGCTGGGCATATTTTCTCTTGCCTAGGAGCTCTTCCCTTCATCTGTGTGTGTATCCCTCAAGACTGTCCTACAGCTTCAGGTAGAGGTGGTCAGGGGCACTGCCCACCTGGTTGGAATGCAGAGCTGTGTGGAAGGAAGCCACCTCGGTGATATGCATAGAGGAAACTAAGGGTGAAGGCTGCTGAAGGGCCCAAGCATAGCTGGACAAGGCTGTGCCTTGGTGAGCCTTACGTTAGCAAATTAGTGTGCAGAGCTGAGCACTTCAGCCACACACCCCCAGCCTGGCCCTATCCCCGGCTCTGCTGCTGGCTGGCGGTGGCAAGACAAGGCCTGGACTAGGCAAGCTGCTTTGCTCCTGAGCCTCTGCTTTCCTTCTCATTTGAGAAATGGGGTTGGTGAAAGTCTCTCCCCCATGTGGTTGTTGTGAGGATAAGGAGTGGAACCTGCGGAGCATGCAGCATCTGCCCACAGAGAAAAAGTACCATCAATATCGACAGCATGAGCTACTCTTCTGACCGAGAGCTACATGTGCAGGTTCCCACTGCACTGAAGAGGAATGGGCTGAGTGGGGGCTGGAACTTGGTCCAGCCCTTACCTGCTGTGTGGCCCTTTCTTTGGCAAGGGAGAATACAGAATTAATCAGGCAGCTATGTTCTGTCTCAGCTCCCCTGTCCATGCCTGTCTGGCCATCTGTCAGGCCTTGATCCTTAGGGGCTCATGTGACATGGCTTTTTAACACTGGAAAAGGCCAAGCAGGATGTTCCAGCTATCCACACAGGTCTCGGCTTTGTGTCCCGGGTGGGCTGCACAGACGTCACTGAAGGTTCCTGTGTGTGATGGAAGGTACCAGCTCCTCCTCCTCCCCCATCTCAGGGTGGCACCATCAGGTCTTAGGGCAGAGCTCAGGGCCTTGTTTGGGACTCTTCCTTCTCTCAGTTCCCAGCCTGTTAGCTCTCATGAACTGTCCAGCGAGCTTCCCTCCCGGCTCCCTGCTCTGTCCCCTGCAGAGCCTCCCTGGGTTCACCACCCTTTGTCTTAGAGACCACCTGCTATCCAGAGGGGGTTTTCTAATTCTAAGTCCCTCACTTGCTTGAGTCCTTTCCACAGTTCCTCAGGGGATGGGGATAAAATACCAGCTGCAAAGCATTCTAAGGGCCTCAGAGTGATTTGGCTCCACGCAGACACCCTGCCTGCCCAGTGTGAACTCGGATTTCCTTTTGGTTCTGGAGGGTCCTGCCTCAGGCAGTGCTGACATCCTCTGGAGCCTGTGGGAGATGCAGCCTGTTTCATGCCTAACTCTAGGCAAGAACCTGCATTTACCAGCACTGCCAGGGCTTCCCATGCACATTAAAGTTTAAAAGCTCTGTGCTAATAAGACTGTCCCTTGTTACCGCTTGACCTTTGTACGCATTTATCTGGAATACCCTTCTGGCCTCCTCCTAATTGGTGGTCTTCATCCCTCAGGTCTCAACCCATGTCTCCTCCTCCAGGAAGTCTGTCCTGACTGCCCAGCCTGGGTCAGCCCTCTGCGCTCTCACACGCCCCTGCCCTCCTCCCATCCCAGCTGTGACCCCTCCAGGTCTGTACTGTCTTCTCCCGACACAGGACTGTGCACTCTATGATACAGTATGGACTTGAGTTGAGCCCAGGTCACTATGTATCCCTGCATTGTCCAAAATAGGGCTGGGCACAGAGATGGTGTCACTGAATGCTTGAGCTGATGCTTCTATGATTAGAAGACCCAGGCTGAACAGGAAATGGTGGCACATACTATCATTCTTAGAGCCCGAGGTGGGAAGACTGCAGGCTTAAACCCAGCCTGCGCAACTTCGTGAGACTGTCTCAAAAATAAAAAAGGCTGGGCATGTAGCTCAGTGTGAACGCTCTGAGCTCAGTCTCCAATACCATAAAACAAACACCACCAATAAGAAAAGCCCTGGGAGGGGAGGGAAGGGAGGGCATGGAGATGGCTCAGTAGAATAAGCGTTTCCCTGGCAAGCACTAGGGTCTGAGTTCAATCCCTGGTTCCGCAAAAAAGAAGAAAAGACCCGGACTGAGGGTACAGCCTGAACCAATCACTGAGGTGAGGTTCTCTGGGACACACTGACCCCAATGAGTAGGAGGCAGGCGAAGCAGGAAGGAAGCACTTGCTGAAGCCAGGGCTTCTGGTGGGCTGCAGACTGCACCTTGCAGCCCTCGACCTGATGGCTCTTATGGATTCCAGACCTGGACTACCCAACTGTGACTCCCAGGTCTGCCGGGATCTTGGCCAACCTCTCTAAGCCTCAGTCATCTTGTGTGTAAAGTGGGGCTACAAGCCAAGTGTGGTGGTGCACGCCTATAATTCCAGCATTTGGGAGACTGAAGCAAGAGGATCACTGTGAGTTTGAGACCAGCCTGGGCTACGTAGTGAGTTCAAAGCTAGTCTGAACTATATAATGAGACCCTATCTCAAAAAAAAGAAGAGGGGGGCTGGTGAGATGGCTCAGTGGTCTAAAGCACCTACTTAGAACAAGCTTAGCAAGACACAGGGACCACAGTTCAATCCCCCAGCACCACATGCCAGCCAGCCCCGCCCCCTGGTGGGCTGAGCTGG